CATGGCACAAAGAATCCAAATATCTCCTTCTCAAGAGCTTCTCTTCTTGGCTACCATATTTCCTTTTCTTCTGGATCATGACATACAAGGATTCTTCATAACCTTTTTAGTGAGGTATCCCAGTCTCTCTAGTCCAGGTCCCACACCATGAAAGCAGTGTGTAAGGTTATGTCTATGGTCTGATTCAAATCTCTTTATCTATGGCCACAGAACATGATGGGTTGAAAAGACCATGAGTCTAGGTTGGTTACTCCTGTTCATGTTGGTTACTCCTGCTCATGTAATTTTTATTTTTCAGATCCAGAAGAAAACTTAAGTCTTATTTCCATTCAACCTGAGGACTACTACTGTGCTGTTGGGAGAGTGGTGCAGGAGAGAGGTGAGTCATTCAGGTCTATGGGCATGTAAGATGGGACTTCTGAGCCTTGGATCTGGAAGGCAGGGCTTGGGGCCCAGACCCTAGGAGTCCAGAGAAATGGCTAGAGCAGAATCGGAGAGCTGGATGGGAGCACTCTTTCTTAGGCAGAGCCAGCTCACTGTCTGTCCTCTTACTGATGTGTGGACTCCAGGCCACTGCTTTCTAGCCAGGAGCAACATGAAACAAACTTGTCTCGTTACTCACTTCCTTGCCAGCCTACTGGGAGATGATCACAGCCAGAGACAGGCCAGACACCAGCAGGTGAATGGTGCCCCCAATGGAGGCTTACCTCACCCAGATGGCATCAGGACTGACTCAGAGGACAGGGTCTCATATCACTGCTGCCCGTGCTCCCCTTGGCAGTTATCTCTTGGAGGACAGACCAGGCCAAACTCTGCGACACTTACATATTGAGACCTGATTGCGCCTAGTGTGCCTGCACTGGTGAAATCCAGGAATAAAAACTGTTGAGCGATAACGATTTGAAATGCCATTTGTGGGGGTGGAAAATGGGCAGGTCTGATGGCAGCAGGTATTGATAATGACAGCAAGGAGTAAGAACTCTGTAAAGGCCATCGAGGCCTTTTCTTTCCTTATCAACCATTCCCCACAAGACTGCTTCCTCTTATCTCTTCCCAGAAGTAACAACAAATCCCACTCAATGGGCATATATTCCTATATGTTTTCAAATAAATGTTCTACAGAGCTGTGCTGAGGATCACCTGAGAGTGTGGAAGGGGACTGGGTGGGCATTGTCATTGCCATTTACATGCGAGGAAGCTGAGACACCGAGGTTCAATGATGGCCCAGTTTGTAAGAGACAGAGTAAGTTCCAGAAGATGGTATTTTACATGGTATTCTGATTCCTAATCTGGAACTATCTCCTCTGCAGCAGGTCTCCTTCTTCCACCCCTCCGTCTTGTGTTCCATGCTTCATCAAACACCCACTGCTTAGGTTAATGCCTGGTGGCCCTGATAAGCCAATTAATGACAAGACTTTTTATTATATATAAACAATGTGAAGAGTTGGAAAGATATTTATGAGTAGGTTACAAAATAGTGACTTTTAATAGAGAATTTTCAGATTCAGCAAATAAAAATATGGATGCCTGGTTCCATGTGAGTTTCAGATAAAAAAAAAAAATTGGTTCAATTATGTCCCAAACAGAACAGAAATAAGATATATCATATACTAAAAATCTGAAATTCAAATTGAACTAGGCATTCTGTATTTTATCTGTCAACCTGATTTTAATTATTGCTAAATTATGAGAATATCATTTTAATTATTACTAAGGTTGGCTTTATACTGAAATACTGTAATTTGTTAGCCATGAAGCTATCCTAGGAAACATTTAGAGCATGCATTCTGGATGGATTTGAAATTCATTCTGTGGAACTAACTAGGGGCTTGGTGGAGATGGTTTGAACTAAAAGTCAAGGGACCCGGTCCAGTTTATATAACCACAGCAATTCTAGCCATTGGCTTTTATTGTTTGATGATGGCTCTTGGTCAATTTGTTCTGTTTTTGTTTCATTTTGTTGTGTTTTCCAGTCTTTTCTGCCCTTGTGTTTCAGTTTGTTAAATATCCATTGAACTATCTTTAAGTTCACTAATTCTTTCTTTGACTTTGTCCAGTCTATGGATGAGTCTGCCACTGGTTTTCAGTAGTTCTATCAACTCTTTAGAAATGGATGAGGTTGTAGCTGTGAGGGGTTGGCCATAAGAAAGAAATTACTATGGTGGATGATGTGAAGTCCTGGTAAGAGAAGAATGAAGGAATTTGATTTCCAAATACAGCTTCTGTGAAGTCCTGTGGGGAGTGAGGCAAAGCTCCAGATGGGTTTAGTCTTTTATTAGATATAGCCCAGGCATCTCATCTACAGTGGTTTAGAAGGAAAGGGATGGGTTTTCATGCTGTTTTTCCTAAGGGAAATCCCACATGGAAACTGGGTAAAGTCTTGAGACAAGTAAGGTAAGCAGGAAATAATAAAAAAAAATTAAAAGGAGGGTCAAGGTGAGAAGATTTCCATCCTTAGGAAAGAGTCGGCTACAAAGGCTGTATCTTGCTGGTTTAATGCTGGAAGCACATGGCCCCACCATGGTCACAGCGCTGGGTCAAGGAGCCTTGCAAAGCAAGAAGATACTAGGTAGGTCCTGGAGATAATTGTCCATATTGTAAAGACAGTTTGTGGGACGATATTTTGTTTGTCCATATTTATAGAGTGCCTACATTTATTGAGGTAACAGAAATGTAGGGATCTTTTAGTCAAGCAATACCTGGAATCCTTTCCACAGATCTTTGCAGTAACAGGTGTTTTTTTTTAGTTTTTTTTTTTAAACAAATTTATTTTTACTTTGGCCATTCAACTTTTAGCTTAAATGTCAACTACTATGGCAGGCCTTTTCTAAAAGTTTAACCTAGCACACCCCCTTCATCATTTCTCAGAGTCCAGACCCAATATTTTCTTATTTACTTATTGGCTTATTTGCTCATGGGCTGTCTGTTCCTTTTAGAATGTGAGTTCTCCAAGGATCTGTAGCAGGTTTCCTGCTCCCCATTCACTGCTGTAGTTCCCCTGTCTGGCAACTAATGGACAATATGTTTATTAATGAATGGAGTAAAGGAAAGTGTGTTGGGTACCGTTTTGCTGCTATACAGTGAACTAATATTTAACCTAAAGAGGATACCAGAATTCCTTTTAACATTCTGCTGTTTTTGTCCAATTTCTTGTTTAACACTCTAACAAGTGTTACGCAAAACCAGAAGGTGGAATAGTCTTGGGCTGTGAGCTTTCAGAGGACCATGTCTGTGGCTTTTAGAGGACTGTGTCTGTGTAATTCTTTTTTTTTTTTTTTTTTTTTTTTTTTTACAGGGAGGGCTTAACAAATACTTTTCTGACTGATTGATTAATTAAGGTTTAAGCTTAAGCTCGGGGAGGCTCTGACACAGTGGGACATTCCTTTGTGACCTGCTATTCCTCTCCCTCTTCCAGTTGTTCTAAACACCAGTTCTGCATGGTAGATGAGTGTTTATTTCCTGGAAACCTTAAAAAAAAAACCCCACAAATTCACAAAAAAAAATATACACAGGAATATACTGGATTATTGGATTGAGAAAAACCACAATTTCATATTTAAACTAATCCATTTGTGGCAATCCTTTGTGAAGCATATCTGTTACAGGAAATAACTGTGAGTTTAGACACCCAAACAAATAATAAAATCCAGTGTTGGCTGTCAGTTCTGTGAAGTCTCTCTCTGAGTGCCTGGCTGAGCTGCCAGAGGAGGCAGGGCCCTTTGCAGCTTGCAGGTCAAAGGTCTTGTGTCTACAGGTGCGAGGGTCACAACAGAATTTGACCTCAGATCTTTCTAAGCTAAACAGACCTGACTTTTTGTCCAAAAGTAATAGGACAAAGGAGTGTGGTGGAGGTAGCTGGGGGTGGAGAGTTAGAAGAACTTGATTACTTCACTCAGTTATTTGTTCTACCACATTTATTAACCTCTTGCAAGGGCCTGCACGTTGCTAAGCCTTGTAAAGCCTGGCAAGATAAATCAGATAAGATCCCTGACCCTGAGCAGTGTGCTTAACAGGGAAAGGACACAGGTGTTAGAGATGGTTTGGGGTAGGTAATGGGCTTGGATTGAGATATATTGGTTTTGAGGGGCCAGCTGGACATTAAGTTGGAAGCACCAGGCTGTCAGTTTATCAACTATAAACAAGACTTTTCCTAGCTTCACAAATCTAATGCCTAGCTAACTAGTTTTCTCTTGGACAGTTTAAATTCCATGTGTTCAAAGCTGAATTTCACCCCCATCTGTACTTCCCTTCAGTTGTTCCCATTTTCCATGAATGGTGCTGCCATTGAACCCAGGCAAAAGCCCAGGAGCCTCCCTGATGCCTTCTTCTTTCTCCATTTCCCACTCACACACCTCAAATTCTGTTGATTTCATCTCTGAAATGTTTCTTGAATCTCTATCTCCTTTTTTTTTTCTTTTTTTTTTTCTGTTTTACATCCCAAACTTCCATCACTTCCCATCTGGTCTCTTGCAACAGCCCCTCCTCTCTATAGTCTACTGTTTCTACTCTGGCCCCTGCCTCCATTCTCTCCATGTTACACAGCAGCCAGTGACCTTTAAAAATATAAACGCCAACCCGATCATGCCAAGGACCCCAACTTCCCAGTTTGCAGGCTTCAGTGGCTTCCCTTGCTCCCAGGAAGGTGACGAAATTTCTAACACAGTTTCTGAAGTGCACCAGGTCTGACCCTTCTGGCCTCGCCTCCTGTTTTGACCACATTTCTAGCCCCAAATTGTTTATGCTGAAGGCAGGATTTCTGATTGATTTCTTGGGTTGGATAATTCTTTGGTGTGGAGACTGCCTAGTGCATTGTATGGTGTTTAATAGCATCCCTAGTTTCAACTACCAGATGCTAATAGCACCGTCCTTACCACTTGTGATAACTAAAATGTATCTAGACATTATAGTGTGTGTGTATGTGTGTGTGTGTGTGTGTGTGTGTTTGTGTGTGTTGGGGGCGGACACAGGACAAAATCACCCCAGTTAAGAACCCCTGTGTGCAACATGTTCCCAAAAGCTGTGGCTGGTTGTAACCATAGGCTCTCCAACTGAATGCAAGAGCAATCTGAGAGACTTTGACAACTCAGGTGAGCATAATACCTGCATCTGCCACTCGCCTTTCCTATATCTCCGGAGAAAGAAAGGAAAAAAGAAAGAGAGAGAGAGAGAGAGAGAGAGAGAGAGAGAGAGAGAGAGAGAGGGAGAGAGAGAGGGAGAGGGAGAGGGAGAGGGAGAGAGAGAGAGAGAAAGAAAGGAAGGAAGGAAGGAAGGAAGGAAGGAAGGAAGGAAGGAAGGAAGGAAGGAAGGAAGGAAGGAAGAAAGAAAAGAACTGTGTGCAATCATCACATCAAACAGCAAATGTAATGTGGGCAAGCATGTTAGCACAATACTGTCTTTCACCTTCACCCTCTTGTCCTGGCAGGTCTTGGAGGTACCTGCTGTACAGAACCCCAGGCAACTTATCTGCAACAGCTCAGCTGCATAAGGTCTCTGACCTGTGAAAGTGTGATTTATTGTGAGAGGGAGGGTGGGACTGCCCTTCTTAAAGCCACAATATCATCATTTCCTGAAAGCAGGAAGGGTTTATCTCACAGCAGATAGTTCTTGAACTTTTCAGAAGATATTATAGATTTCCATGTTAATCTAAATGCCAGAAAGATCTGAATAAATGGGATACAATTTTGGATAAACAATTGACCTTCACCTTTGGCTTTCTTCATATCAGCTTGGAAATAAAGGAGCCCATTTATCTTCCTCCCACTTCCCCAACCCCCATGAAGTGGTTCTCTTCAAATTCTGTTTATTCTCAAAAAAGGGTTACTTGGGTAAATCCTGACAGATAGGTATTTTCTGTGTTGAGGGCAGAAATGGGTGAATGAAGCAGGTGGAGGATCTGAGTGTCCTCCTAATGGATTGCTCTTGATAGTGGTGGGGATTAGTAGAGTCTCTGCTTGTAGGTGACTGGGAGGTTCAGCAAGACAAGGCAATAACAACTCTTAGGGACTGATGACCCACATCCATCTTCATACCACTCCTTACATTGTGACCTGTAGGTCCTTATTCAGTAAAAAAGAAACCTGAAACAGAGAGCTTATGGGGGAAGTAAAAGAATTCTGACCTCTCCTCTAAAAGGGTTTCTGAAGGGGGAGTGAATGAAGAGCAAAGTGAAGGGTGCCCCAAAGAGCCACAGGAAAAACCAGTTTCTCCACTTTCTGAGGCCCCTGGAAGAATGAGGGAGCTAAGCTAAAGTTGCCCAGGCAGCTTGAAAGAAAGGGGAATCCACACATAAGGCTGAGTCTATTTTGAAAGTGGAGGTGGAGCCAAGTAACCCTGTGCCCCCAAGAGAGGCCTGGTGACAGGTTACTGTCCTCAGGGATCATTCTCATAATTGCATTTATCACTGTTCCAAGGAATCCAATGGAAGCCAGCAAAGCAGGAACTAATCTCACCTTCATTCACAGATCTGTGTTTTATATGTACTTTCATAGGGCAAACCCCAGTTAGGGTTTGCTAATGCAGTTTTTCTGTCCTTGCAAACTGATTCATTGTGGAGGCTGGAGGTGGTGAGGGCTTATGTGCAAGCCTGTGCCAATATGAAATGGAAGAGCTGGATTCAGTGATAAGGGGAATGTGGTAGGAGGGTGAACATGATCTCAAAGGTGGAACCGAGGAGACAAATGTGATTTTAAAGGTGATGGGACATGTTGCGCTGCAAAGCAGGAATGTGACCAGGCTGATAGACCTCAGGATATGGGAGAAAAACGATGCAGACATGGGGAGAATGTGCAAACTCCACACAGGCCATGGAACTGGCCAGGAATTAATTTTATTTTCTCATCAATGTTACAATAAAGTGAAGTTGAACAAAATGACATTATTGAGGGCCTGCTGAACCTGACCTTGGTCAGATCTCACTTGGAATATCCGATTTGCTTCTGGTCACCACATTTTAGGAGAGACACATTTAGACATTTATAAAGTTGGTTGAAAGCGGAGTTAAAGCAGGAGACTGACATGTTATCAGGCACGTGGGAGGAGACCCAGGGTTTGTAGACCGCTCCTTCCTCTTCAAAGCCTATTTATTTTTATTGCTTGATTGTTTTAGTGATAACCAAAGTCAAATTCTCCTAAAGAGCCTGGGAAGTACTGACACACATTCTTTGGGTCTGGAAATTCAGAGGTCGCAGGCAAACTTAGAACTTTTAGTAGAAGAGGGATGAAGGGATTCAAGAGAGCAGAAACCAGGTTGACAAGGATACAAAAATATGATCAGATTCAAGTAACTTCTGTGATCTTTTCTAAATCTGTAAATTTATCCTCTGTTCTCAAAATTATTTACCTCTCCTTAAAATCCAGCTTTTGAGGGTCTTTAGCATTTGCTTTTGTCAAGAGGATGCTACAACATCTAGGCTTGAATTATTTCCCCCCCCCCACACACACTTCCTACAGGTTAGTCTTGAACCTCTACCTGCTTGGTCTGGCTTCAGGTTACTAGACCAAGTTTTATTCCCCAAAATACTCTCCCAAGAATTAAGGATTCAGGATATGACTTTCCCTCTACCATATCTCCTTTGTATAGGTGTCATCACAAGATATCCTTCAAAAGCCATAAAAGCTGAAAGTGTTGAAGACTTCTCTCTCCACCCATATTTTTTCCTCATAGTGTAATCACAAGCTTTAATGTAGTCTGAACAAGGTCTCATCAAAGTGGGATCTTTTATCTTCATAAGTTTCTTCAATTTCTGGATGACTGATTCATGATCCCAAAGACACAAATGTATTCTTGTACTCTAGCTCCTTTATCCTCCTCTCTTCATTCCTAATTCTATTTCTTCTTCAACACTCCTTTTTTTTTCTATTTTCTTCTCTCCTTCACTTTTTTCTTACCATTTAGATACATTTTTTACTTCCATTAGCTCTAAAAAATATGTACATCAGTAATATGTAAAAAGATTATCATTGCAGGGGAGAAACACAATCAGTGATTCAGATCTTTGATTCTTTTCCTAGATGTAAAACACAGTTATTGGGATTTGGGGTAAGTTGTCAATACTCTTGCTACCCAAAATGGTGTCTGAGGAATGCCAGCATCAATACCTTTGGAGGGCTTTACTGAAATACAAAATCTCAGTCCCTCCTATACTCATTAATTTCAGAATCTGCATCATAATAAGTTCTTTAGATGATTCCTATCCACATTGAAGTTTTAAAAGTACTTCTGCTCTATATTAGTAGCTTCCAAACATTTTAGATTGCTCACTCCCATCTGTAAAAATGATTTTAAGTATATACCTTTAATATGTGCATATATGAATTATATATATGCTTTTCTATCAATATTAATTATCAGTAAAACTTCTTATAGACAACATATACTTGGATCTTATTTTTTAATCCACTCTGACAGTCTCTCTGTCTTTTAAGTGGAATGTTTGGCCCATTTACATGCAAATGATTATTGCTATAGTTGGACTAATATTTACCTTATTTATAATGTATTCAATTTATTATTCTTGTTTATTTTTTTATCTTTTATTTCCTCCTTCCCTTCTCTGTTTTTAACTGAGTCTTTTATGATTCTATTTTTTCTTTTGCATATCAGTTATACTCTAAAAAAAGTTTTTTAGTGGTTGCCCTGGAATTTGTGATATACATTTATAACTAATCCAAGTCCACTTTCAAATGACACTATACCAATTCATGGTTCATGCCACTACTTTCTAATAATGGAATACTCCCAATTTTATTCCCTCCCTTATAACGTTGCTATTGTTCACTTATCTATATGCTGTAATTACTGAACAAGCTGGTATTATTTTGAATAAATTGCTACCTGTTATACCAATTAAGAATAAGAAAAATGCAAGATTTTATTTTGTCTTCCTTTACTTCTTCTCTAGTGCTCTTTTTCCCCCCTTTATGTAGTTCTAAGTTGAACAGAGCACATCTTATAGATTACTGCTCCTGACTGGGCATTCACAATTTCACTGCACACAATAGAATTCTAAAGTTAAAAGCAAAGGAAAAAACAAAAACAGATGCCTGGGACTCACCCCAGACCAATCACAGCAGGGTCTCTGGGAAGGCATTGTATGTTTCAGAATCTCCCTAGGTTATTCTAAGAGGCAGTTAGGGATGAGAACCGCTGTCTGGGAGGAGGCTTTCTGCTGCTTAATTTGAATCTCTTTTGCTTACAGTGGAAACTCATTCATTCATATTTGTTTTATAGTATAAGTAGAAAGTTGTTATCAATTTTTATATTTTAAACTGTCAGAGAGCTGAAGTTTTAGCCATTAGAACAATAACTGCAAAGCAATCTATGGCGCACAGCTACCCGCCGTATATCACTTCTTTTAAGCTTCACCGCAGCGCTGTCAAGTAGGCATTATCTTCTTAACTTCATAAGTGAAGGAGTGAATGTTCAGGGAGTGTAAATCACTCCCCCAAATTCTCGGAGCAAAGGTGGGCCAGGAAGGAAATGGCTCTCAGGTCTACAATTCCATATGCTATGTTTTCCCCTGCCCTATGCCGCCTGGCTTTCTAATTTTATGAACTAATTTTCTTCCATTTCTCCCTGAGATAACCAGCCCATTTGGTTCTATGCCTCTTAGGGGTTTAACACCAGCATCACTCTGATGTCTTTTAAACTAAAGAGCTAGTTAAAAACTATTACCAGTCCATCTAACTAGCCACCTGGTCACCATGTTGTCTGGATTATGTCTCACTTCAAACTGTAGGCATATGTGAACCATCAGCAGAAAACCTTTGCCTTCCTTAATTATACAGGCTTGTTATTGATCAACCATACTCCTGCTTTTTTTTCATTGTGGATATCGTGTGTGTGTGTGTGTGTGTGTGTGTGTGTGTGTGTGAGTTATTGTGTGTGCATATGTGTCCTTATTTCCCTTAAAAAAGGCAAATTTTATGAAAAAAAAATGAACACACAAAAACAGAGTAAGAAAATTTACTAATTTACTATTAAAGGAGTTTAAGAACTAGATTGACAGAAATAGGGTGTCGGGTCTGAGGTCATCAGAAATCCACAAAGACCTAAGTAGAGAATACATATAATAACTGAAATAAAACATGGCACTTTTTTTTAGTGCTCCCTTTGAGAAAGACAATTCACA